CGTCCAAGCAGTCACTGCAGAGTCGGTAACAACTGAGCGCAGATTAAAAAAAAAAAAAATGGAAAATACTCCTTCAGAACTTTCCTGAGAGAGAATTCTTATCTCCAAATATATTTTATGACACAATGAGTCACTTAAACTGCACAACTAATCCTTGTTTAGGATATTTGTTTTTAATATGTGGTGGCATTTTCTTCTCCTTTCCCCAATATTTGTGGCAAGTCTTTATAAAATGTCTATAATTGCCATGTTTTAAAATATTACTCCAGTTTCTGTACCTGCTGGATTATGAAGATTTTCTTAACTTAGTGAATTTCCTGATGATTTGATAGGCAGCCCTGTCTTGAGCTTGGTGATTGATCTCTTCCCCCACCAACACCAATTTGAACTGGCCACAGAGAAAAAAGGAGAACTATCACCACACAATGCCCCCCACTCCTAATCCCCATAGGTAGTCCAGAATTATAACATGATCAATAGTATTGAAAGCTGCTGAAAGTTGAAAAAGAGCTATCACACCAACCCATCCCAACCCCACCAGAGGTCATCTGTAAGTGCAACCAATGCTGTCTCCACATTGTGTCCCAGTCTGAAACTGGACTGAAAAGACCAGATAATTCACTTCCTCCAGGGCCCTCTAAAGCTGTCAACTGACCATCTTCTCAATAATATTTTCTAGACTGGACAAAAGTAATCCAGAATTATTGGATCCAGTGACGGCTTCTTATGGAGGGGGGATACAATCACCATCTTCACAGCTGGCAGAATCCCCTCCCGATGCTATAGTATGGACTCAGCCACATACTATCTCCTCAAAGGCCCTCACTAACCAAGAGAAGCAGGGATCTAATAAATAGCTGGTTGGGCTAACAGTCCTAAGGATCCGGCTCACATCTTCAGGAGTTACAGATTCAAACTCAACCTGGACACAAAACTGTGTTTCCATCACCTCAACAAGTCAACCCAGTTGACGATCACCACTCCATCCCTTGACCTTGAGCTCATGGCTGCTGCCAAATTTGAAACTCGGCTGCCTCAACCATGATCAAATCATGGATGAGAGTGAGCTTATTATATACCAACCCAGGGCCATCTAGAATCCAGTAGCTGACATCAAGGGTGAATATTGAAGGCTGAAAGGTAGGACTGACCATCAATTCTAAGATCAGCCGGCTCTCCGATTCCCACCATGTTTACTCTGTCAAAATCTGTATGGTACTCTCCTCTCCCCCCAGTGCCACCCTGCCCTCCTGGCCATGGAATCCAACCAGTTAACCTCCCCCTCACTCCACCCAACTTTATAGTCCACAATGAAAAACGATACTGGTAAAACAAAAGCTGGCAAGCAAGAACTTGGGATAGGGAAAGAAGACAAATTGCCAGAGTGGCTGCAGGACTTGGATCAATAACAACCAGTCCCTTGACCCAACTTTGCTCCCCTCATCCCAGCTCCTTTCTGCTATATCCCTGGTCACAGCCCTGTAGATCTGGTAGCTACTTGTTGCAGAACTGTTCTATCCCAGGTGCCAGAGAGCCTGTTGATGCTGTGCAGCCGGGACCACCATGTTTCTCAAAGAGATATATATATAAAAAAAAAAAAACTTCAGCCAAACCTCTTCTCCACTAGCAAATGCAGGTAGGGACTGGATGTGCACCACAATCTGGAAACCCTGTAGGGAACCAGCAAAAGCCAAATGATGTGACCAGTAAAGCCACCAGCACATTCTGGCACTGCGAAATCACAGGTATCAGTGCATCAGGCTTGCTGCATGGTTGTCAATCCAGCTTCCCAGCTGTCAGATACCTCTGGCCACTGCTGCTCATTCACACTGCATCACTACTGCCATCACAAATCACATCCAAGCAAGCAAGAGGTAAGATCTCTTCTAATCCTCTACAGTGGCTAGTCACTTCTTCCACTTCTTCTTCTGCTTGTACCCTTCTACTCAGAGCTGCTTAGTGCCCCATTTGTCCAGCATCCACTATAAAAAGAGAAATACTAGCAATGAGTCTAAAACTTGTGTTATATTTTAAACTATGAGTCTTCTTTGTCCCTTGCATTGTCTTTTATACTTTTATAACAAGAGTTTGCTTTTTGAAGAATAAGAACCTCTGGATATTATTTCAGAAGGGACATATTTCATCATTGAATTAATAGTGGCTTTAGTATTCATTCGATCTCAAGCTTCAGGAAGGTTTGGAGCAAATATTGCAATCTCTTAAAGCATCAAAGGAATTGTTTTTCACGCCTGCTATCATTGTATCTTGAATTTAGAGGTATGTGATTGGGAAGGTTGGAAGAAACTGTGATTCTTCTGTGAAGTACTCCTTGTGTGCCCCTCCTCCAAAAGTTACATTGAGCATATGTTTATTATTTAGAAGAATAGTAGAGAACTGATTGTGGAAGAAGAGGGAGGCCGCTTTGCCTAATTCCTCCTTCCATCTGCTGCCCCCAGCACCACTTACCATGCTGCTCTGGAAGATCCCTTGGCCATCAAGACCAGATTTTGTGTACTCAAAGAGTGAAATAAGGGGAGGGAAAGATGACAAAAGTCATTTCCATCCTCTTTCTCAATTTAGGAGGACATATTTGGCTCAAATTCAGTATCTTTTTATAATGAAAATAATTAAGTACATGTTTTGACTTCCTTAAGAGATAGATTAATTTGGTCAGTACAAAAAAGATGTATGAAGAAATATCACTATGCCAAAATAAATACATTTTAATTTGTGGCAGCATGAATATATCTGTCAGGAAGGGTCAGGAAACAGCACAAGAACTACTAGAACTCTATTGTTGTAGAGTATAATAACAGAATCTTGAAAACCTGCCAGAATTTTCCTCTGTTGGTTCATATAACCATGTAGAATAAAGGCAGGGTTATTTTGAGTCTCCTTCTCATGCTCTCTCCTTTCCTAAGAGTATGTTGCCATTTACATTCTCCTTTATTATCTCTTAATGGTTCTGCAAACGGTTTTTGTATTCCTTCGTTAACTTTATCTCTGCATTTCTCTACAATATCATTAATTTCATTATGTGATACAATCAATGCTTATGTTTGAAAAGATCTTCAGAAACACATTGGCATATGTGATAAAAAAGCATTGTAAAGCATCTGAAGAAATGATTCTGAAGCATATAGTAATATTATGATAGGAAATATGCATGAGAAAAGATAAGTGTTTTAATACATTAAGACTGGAATTCTGTATGCTTAGAAATATAGTTTATTGAACTTAATACTTGAATCCATTCTTACAGCTAGTTTTTCTTTTGCTTATTAGTCAGGCTAGTTCTACCTTGAGGAGGCAGTCCTGAAGATACCTAGAAGCCAAGCATTGTAGAGCTTTATAGGTTAAAAACAGCACTTTGAAGTATATCTGCAACCTATAGATAACCAATGCAGCACCGATAATATAAGAGTTGCATACAGGTAGTCCTTGAGTTACGACCACTCGTTCAGCAACCATTCAGAATTATGAGGGCACTGAACGAGGGGGACTTATGACCGACTTGTGAAGTTGTGGCTGTTGCAGTGTCCCCATGGTTATGTGATCATGATTCAGGCGCTTGGGTACCCGGCTCATGATTATGATGTCACAGCAAACTGTGGTTACATGATCACCATTTATGACTTCGCCACCGGCTTCCCACAAGCAAAGTCAATGGGAAAGCTGGCAGGGAAGGTCACAAGTCACTCCCATAAATTGCTCCCACTGCTTTTTCTCCTGAGGAGTCCTATTTTGCAGCACTCCCACCTGCCCACACTCTGTAACTTGTCTGCCTGTGCTTCATAGCACATACCTGCCTGCAGCACCCCTGCTGGCCTGTGGCCCTTGCTGGCTTGCCCACACTCCTTAGCCACCCGCAGCCCTCGTTGGTCTGCCCTCACTTCCCAGCACCTGCCCACGGCCCTCACCAGCCTGCCTGTGCTTCCCAGTGCCCACCAGCAGGCCTTGCCAGCCCGCCCACACTCCCCAGCACCCACCTGCGGCATTCATTGACCCACCCGTAATCCCTAACACCCACCTGCAGCAGCCCCCCATCCTCTGCAGCCCCCCACATCCCCCTGTACTTACTTGGGACTCCCGCCTCTTCCCGCTTAACAACCCACACAGACCTGGGGTTACAACGGCAACCGGGACTGCTGAGATTGTTGTTGCTAAGTGATGCACTCACCTGACGTCACGCTTTATGACTGCATTGCTTAGTGATGGCAATCCTGGTCCCAATTGCTGTTGTAACCTGAGGACTACCGTTATAACAGTTTTTACATGGTAGTTTAATTGATTTTGCTATTTGTTGGAGCTTTTGCACCAAAAAAAAAAAAAAAAGAAAGAAAGAAAAGAAAAGAAAAGAAAATTGCCTGTTATTCAGGGAATTATTCTGTGCATTGTTTCTACGGTTTTATTTAGTTTATTCCTTGTATATGAGCTTATTTTAATACATCCAATTACTTTCTTCCCTAGTGTACCTGCAGGAAAGACATGGTGACAATATCAATGGACATTTTTGTGAGAAAATTTCAGCCAGATAGATATCAGCTGTGGAAACAAGGAAAGGATTTATATAACATTGATCATACAAAGCCCACCCCTGAAACCACACCTGAGGTAAAGGCCTGGTTGCAGAGAAGAAAGAAAGCAAAGAGATGTTCCAGGTGGTAATAATGTTTTCTATTACATATAGTTAAACATGCACTCATGTCTCAGATACTGTATTTTGAAATATTTTATTTTAATCATAGTTAATTTGTGTCTCCTTAAACTTAACAGTGATCCTGGGAGCAAAAAAGTCATATTTCATCATGATCATGCTTACTGAATACATAATCAATTTTGAAAAATTGAGCATTACTGAAAGTTTAATGTTTGGACGTCTGAGCATTAATATTATATTTAGACTTTTTCTGTTTATGGAGATTCCGAAAATGTTGCCAAGAAAACTGTATAGACTTTTCCAGGCAATCACCAGGAGTCAGGGCTGACTCAAAGGCATAAAAAAGATCAAAAGAGGCAATTTTCTAAATAGTACTTTTCATCAACAACATATATTTTACCTTTTTTTTGTTTGCTTATTATTATATGATCAGATAAACATATTTTAATTAATGTAAACATTTTTAACACCCAACATCTATTTTGGTGTTTTTTCCCCCAAGTTAAAAATAATTATTTCTCTTTCTGTTTGCCCAATCTTTTTCCATTTTATGTTGGACATTTCTATTAAAGTAAAACCGTTTTCTTATCTAATGTCCTTCACATATTCTGGACAATAGTTCCCATGCCAGTGTGGATGAAAGACATGCTATCAGACAATTATGGGAACTATAGACGAACATATCTGAACAATCCAAATTGTAGAAAGCTTTAATAGATAGTATGCAGCGTTGTCTGTTTTTCTGTTAGATCAGGATCTCTAACTTACAGATGTAAAAAATACTTCAAAAAATTGCTGGCTGTAGTTATTCTAAAGTGTGGTGGATGCTTCCAGATTTCTCTTCACAATCACACCATAGTTTGAGAGGGGAGAGAGAAATGCATAATTCTGAAGTTTGCTGCAATTCGCAATTTCTGTGCTGTTAACTACATCATACATAATAGTGAATATTACAAAAATCTCTAGTAAGAATAGAGATTTTTAAAAATAAAAAATGGTACAAAGATATTAAAATCTAATATCACAGCTAGCAGCTCCTGACAGTCATAATTCATTTATAGTTCAGTTTCATAAAAGATCAGACAGAAACAGGACTAAAACAACTTCTTTATCAAAAGCCTCTTAAAAAAAGCCAACCTTGTGATGTAAATTAAGAAATGAATCAAGCTCTCTAGGAAGAGAATTCCAAAGTAAAAGTGCAACTTTCCTGGGTTAGTTCTAATCAAACATACAGAGTCTTTTACCAAAGACCTAATCAATAGGCAACCTCTTCTAAAATCTGATTTAGTAAGATCCTTCATTTTTGTAGATATTCGTTATGTTGTATTATGAAATACATATTGTAAAAAAATAATGTGTCACATTGGTAAAGTTTAATGAAGATTTTTTGTAAAAACAAATTCTATTGTTATGTTTTCTAGAATTAATTATAAATGTACTGTATCTATCCTAAAGGTATTTAAGACAATCTAGGGCTACCTGATCTGGGGTACAGATCTCCAGATGATCACTGGATGGCAGCAAAGGATAGGAGTTGTCTGTTTCTCTTTTCCTACTGCCATTTAGTGGTTATTTAGTTGTTTTGCACCCCAAATCTGGGATTTTAAATAATTAATGAAGGGACACTACAATAGTAAGAAATCTGGATGTGCCATAATTTTAACTGTTTTAAAATGATGAGTACAATATTGCCTTTTTTTTTTAAAGATACATATTGGATTTAAATTAATTTACATATTATTAAGTTGTTCATGTCATGTCCATGAAATTAGTATGGTTATGTGTTAATGCAATAAAAAGTATATACTGTTCTCAGAGTTGGGATCGGTAGTAAGGACAGAGAACCAATATTGTCCCAAATTCCTTCTGTTCTTATTGTTTTCACAGCAGCCATTTTGCATGATCTGTTGCACCACATAGATACTTGCATTTGAAACGTATAATAAATTTAATCTATGCTATGCCCACAATATGCCATGGTAAAATAGATATAGCTAAATAGAAGTTATTGCCACTTCAGATGTAAATGGCTACTCTAAATGTGGAGGATATGATACAGACTGTGCTCTCGATTACGTTAGATAGCACTGTGATGAGAAATATGAATTGTGCCTGCATTATATCTCAGAATGATGTTTCGACAAAGAGAAAAATCAGCAAAATATATTTGAGAAGCCACCATTTGATTAATTGTCAGGCCTAGCCCAAGGAACTCCAGGAGAACATGCAGATTCAGTTCAGCAATGTTTATTAGCTACAACCTCTAGCAAGAATCTTCCCAGACTGAAACTAGTTCCCAGGGTCAGCCAGTCAGCACAGAGTGAATTCCTCAGGGAAGTGCCAGCCTCATCCTCTTATTTCTTCCCCGCCCTTCAGGAGATGAAAGAGGATGCTTCCCTCCCTGAGTCTGGCCTTCATAATTCCATTCAATCACATTAATACAACTATTGGTTTTCAATAGTACTGAATTGATTATGATTATCTCCTTCCCCCAAAATTTCCAGAATAAATATTGAATGAGCTTTGCTTACTTGTAGAATCTGATATCTAATAAAGAGAATGAATAATTTCTTATATCTGACCTGGGAATGTTATTTAAAAGTTTCCTATCCTCATTCCAAAGTAGCAGATGATTATCTCATTGCCTGTATTGCTTGACTTCTCTGGCAAGTACTGCCTTGCCTCATCTCTTCTTTTTTGATGGGTAACCCTCTCTTCAAAAAACACAAGTCTTGCAGGATATTCCACTTTAAACAAACATGTCATATCTAATTATTAATGCATATGCATATTTGTATTTACAACTTGATAACCTTTGGTTTTTCATAGCGATGTTGTATAATTGTACAATGTTACTTTTGTATTGCTACAGAGTTTGGCATCTTTATTGTACAACTATTTGCACTTGGCAGAGGAATTATTTCCTTGTCAGTACAACATTTATTTATCTGGATAGCCAATTTAAAATTAAAAATGGAGACACTGTAGTAATTATGCTGAAAGTTTTATCAGATGAGTACATGCACTGAATTTATTCACTATGCTAAACTGGTGGTTGCATTTTTGTGCTGTTTAATTAAGAGTCCTCACACAAATGCAAACACAGCAAGAGATGCTCATCTCCCAAATGAAGTTAAAATGTTCAGTTTCACCTTTGTTGTAATATGTCAAAGAAAAATATTATAATTTTGATTCTGAGAATAATACATTTTCAGACACATATCAGACACCAGGTCAAAAAAACCAAGTTAAGTGATAATATTTGTGTTCTGTGCAATCATTTATGCTAGTACTGCTTTTGTTGTAAGGTACTTATACAAAGATGGAAATAATAATTGTGACATACGATTTGTGCAATAGATTTTTAAAGGGCAAGTCACAATCATTTTATGTAGTATTGCTAGACAAATAATAGACACCATCAGCTTCAACAATGCCTTTATGGACCAATGAAAAATATAAAGGATACTACCTCTAAAGGGAAATTATATAAATTTTTAAAAAAATTATTACACTCAGCGGATTGAAAAGAAATAACCATCGCATTTGATTTATCTAATAGGACAATGACAAAACATAATATAGCTTTGAAATTCTTGCTTTGAACTGGTAGCGTTTTCTAGTTTCAGATATATTGGAATTGTTCTGGAAGACACTCTTCGCATGCTTCAGCACTCAGATATATTTCATCTAAGTCTTGAAGATGCAAATAGATTCTGGAGCTATTTATTATGCTCAAGTGAAAACCTTTGGGTAAAGTTAATGTGGCTCTCAGATAGAGGCTTATTTATTTCCATTTTTTTCTCAAAATAGGAAATATTATTGTAATCATTAAGCAATAGTCCATTTCAGCAGTATGTATCAAAAGATGGGAATTCTTCCTCAGATAGAAGCAACTTATTACCTTACTATTTAAAGAGCAATAAAATGTGTGCATTAGATTAACTTGAAGCATCATCAGTCTTGTTCTCCATCCTTTTGTTGATTATATTTAGCTACTGAGATAATGCACAATTTCTAAAATATTATCTACTATAGTATTATATAAAGAAATAAATTCTCAGGCTGTGCAGTTCAATTCAGTTAGCTGTTGCTGAAGCTGTATTTGTGACTGGTAAATACTGTATATTTTCTGTAAATACTACAGAAGAGTAAATGGTCAAAATGTCTTCCACATTTTGTGACTGAGCATCATTGCTAAAGAATGATAGGATGTGGTTATAAGCACTGTCACATTCTAAGGAATGCTGAACCAAGTAACTGACTTTGGAACTTGCTTCAGCAGGGTTATTTGAGGTCATTTTAGCTTAATGCTAGTTTTAAAGTGTGGTAATTACAGATTAAAAGGTTAAATTCAGTCTTTTGTTAATCTCTTGCTTAATAAATTGTAAACATTATCTCTACACAAAAAGATGATAAATTGTCATTTTTTTCATTTCTTAAAGCAAGTAAAAAGGACATTTCTGTTGGTAGATATTTTATCTTACTCAAGCCAGACGTTCTATTTTGACAGCAGTATCTCTTATAACAGCTTCCAGCATACCCGATCACGATCAAAAAAGCTTAAAACTCCTGAAGACAAGAAGTCATCAACCATAGTGGTTGGTACAGAAATCACAGCCACTGAAGCAGCTACAGATTGCTTCAAGGTCAAAGAAAAACCATCAGCAAAAGTAAAGCCAGTAGACACAGGAGTGCCTTCTGGGGAAGAGCAAATCTCAAGCAGGATGCAGATAGATCAAAATTTATTGGATAACAAAAAGATACTGGGTAAGATGAATGGTATTTATTTCCCATAGAATTTGCAGGTTGTTGATATTATGATCCTATAAATCTGCAATTGAGAATTTATACCCTATTCTGTTCCATAATGCCTCTTTAATTCTGCAGTGATATTACACAACCATGAACATTTAAGTTATAGCTAGTATCTTTCTAATATTTGTCAATAATAAAATATAATAGAACTATAATATTGTCCCAATAAAGCAATAATAGTTCAGAAGCAACTATTGCTAAGTGCTCTTAAAGTTTCGCTTTATCTCATGATTTCCTAAAGGCTCAGGAGTGGATAATAATATCCAAAATAAAGAACTATTAATATATAAAATATCTTAGGAAGAAATTTAACTACTAAAAGAGCCTTCAAATAAAATAGCTATGTAACTTACAATGCACAGTTTTCACAATGTTCCATATAAGCATACAGTTCCCTGGCACAAAACTACTGGAATTACAACCTGGTTCCTCCCTGTATGTAGAATGCTCCTCCCTCCCTTATATTACTATTAAATAAGTGATGTCTAAGTCCGCTTGTTCTATAACAATTTACCAAGGTTTAGGATTGAATTGTGCTAAGCTAAGAAAATAGTTTAAAAACACAGAGTTGGATTTAGAATTTCCTTCCTGTGGTTAAAAAAAACTAATTTTGTCCATGGAAGACTCAGAATCTAACTGGGTATTTTTGATATTATAATGGAAGATGTAATCTTCATTGAGTCTCTCCTTCCAGGAATACTAATGTCCACCAACAATTTGATGAAATGGGTTGAGAGACTGTTCATATCAGTGGGCAAAGTATATTGCAGACTGTAGAAAGAGGCGATATTAGCAAAAAAAATCTCATGTTACTAGCAGCAGTATTCAATGCAGGATGTATTTTTTGCCTGTAGAATGATCCTGGTTCCAATAAATACATATGAAAACATATTTAGATTAACAAGTCTATCCCTTCAAAATTTAATAAAGAACAAAGAACTTAATTTTAATCTAAAGGTTAAAAAGCACCACTTATTTCTTGTGCATTTAAAAAAATCTGATGTTGAAATCGATTATCTATTACTAATCTGAAAATGTCTGCAGATAGGTTTTCTGTATAATAATAAAATGGATAAGAACTATTAGTGTCTATTTTATCTTAATGGCGAATTTTATATAGGTCATTCCCCTCCAAGCTCACAACTTGATCAGGTTCCTCAAATGCAGAATATACAGTCTGAAAAGGAAGAGAAAGAAGTCTCTGACCTTGCACACATTTGTTCTGAAGAATCTAGATTGGCTTTGCCTTCATATCCTAGCTGCAATCAAGATGTTTTAAAAGCTTCAAATGCTTCAAGGCAAACTCCTGAGGACGCTTCTTCTGAAATTGAGAGCTTTGAGAAAGAAGAAACTAGCAGTGTATCAACAGAAGAGGATGAGATTAGTGATGCTGAAAGCAATAAAAGTGGTCTGGAACCCGGGGAAATATCAATGGTAAGAAAGAGGAAATGAAAATAGAATATGAGAGAAGACCTAGTATTTAGTCAGGAACAATAACAAACCCCTCCGATTGGTTTGTAACGTTTTTCTATTAGAGTAAGGCAGACTCCCTTTCATAAATTATTTTAAGATACATTAGTGATATTTGCAACAGCATCACTGAGATCAGCATTATATTGCAATTATGAGCTATGTGTAAGAATGAGTTAATGGAATACTTGTGACTATAGTTTTGTATATTTGTGTATGTATATGGTTATGGTGAAGATTTGAACTAGTGTCTTTGTAATTGTAGCTTATTATGTTTTATTAAGTATTTAGGCTTTTTTCATTTGAATAAGACTTCAAGAAATAACTTGGAACCAAATCTGCTTTTGGCACCTGCAAAGAAAAAAAAAAAACAGTTTTGGATTACCAGGGTTCCTAAGACAGTGGAAGGTATATTTTAAAGACAAGAATAAGGCATTTTTTTCTTTTACCAACATAAATAGTGAACTCATCTTTGTTTTATAAAAGGATGAGATTTCACTATCCCAAAGCCACTCCTTCTGTGTTAATATAATGTGCTAATAAACATCTTCTCAGTGGTGAGATTCTGCATCGCAGCTTATGTTTAATTCATTTGCTTGGGTACTTTTTGCTATTCCTAAGTGCGTTTCTGAATATTTTCCAATATGTTTGCATGCTGTGTCTGTCCAAGTTGTACCAAGGCATTTTATACAGATTGTGATTGAAAAAGATGCACAAATACCTTGCTTTGTTTAATGACTCCACTATATTCTTTCATCATAAGACCAGTTGCAATGCATTAGGCTAATGACTCTTCAGGTCAATACCCAGATCTGGTTGCCTCAGAAGTGTGTGACAGCTGTAAGGTACTAACAGATTATATCCTGGTCCCTATCAGGCACCATCAGACACATACATTCCAAGTTGTGTGAATACCCTAGTAGCCAAAACAGAACGACTATCTAATATTCAGTGATTATCCAATCATCTTCCATATTGACTAAAACTGTAAAATTCCAATAAATTGACCATTCTTGAGGATATTTTTACAATCTCGGCATTTATTAGAGATACTTAATTTTACTCCCAGCATTGAAATCACCTTGAAAATGTAACTAGATGAACTATTGCTACTATCAGGATTAAAATTAGAGAACAATTACTTCTTCTCTGAAAAAGTAGTCTGTACTTGCCTGAGTATAAAAGTTCTAGTCCAGTAATAATGAAACCAAGGTCTTCAGATGTTGCTGAAATTCTAACAGTGGGTGCTAACAATGTAGAATAGCTTCAGCTAGAAGAATATGGGTTCCCATCCCTGTACTCCATCTTAATTAGGAATGGCTATAGCCTCTAGATCTCTAGAATAATTTTAAATATTTGCTATCACAAGTAATGCTTCTCAATGTGAGGTGCCAAGGCTATGTCAGCTTCCCTAGCTGATACAATAGTAGAAATTGTGTATGTTTTTAAATTTTCTCATTTACTAGAATGATAGATTCTGATATAATCTCCAGGTGTTCCCAATCCTTTCCCCACTTTTGTGATGGCAAAAATCTTGTTCTAGCTATGCAACATACAACTATGTAATGACACTTGTCATAATAGATAGGGTCCTATTGAAATTTTAAATTTTGATTTTTTTGCCAAAGATAAAACAATTGTAAATCTGTGGGCGAGTATTTTCAGCACTGAGAGTTGAAACAGTCCTTTATTTATGAAAAAAACACTCTACTGTAATTTCTACTTTTTCTCTACTACTGAACTAAATTAAGTTGGTATTGCAATTAGAGGATATGTACTGTCTGCTAACCACCTTAATACCATCATTTTTCTGTTCTCTCTTATGTACAATCAAAATTGGGGCAGCCTTTTGGGGCTGGGCATGAGCACTCTCAAAAAATAGGTGTCATGGAGAGTCTGGCTAATGACAAAATACCTATATTCAGGAAAGCAAACCTTAATTTGCTGTAGTTCCCAAGACACCAGCCCCTGTCTTATTTGAGCAAAAATATTTCTACAAGATCCATCGTAAGCCAATGGGCATTCTTGGAGCTTGGCACTTTGTTTCATAGTATGCTATATTCTCTTTACATTATTATTTATTTAAAATAATCTTTTTATAAAGCCAATGTAGCACCATTGGCACCGTACTGAGAACCAAAATGTTTTCATATTGTTTATAAATTCTGCTGAGCGACATATAACATCCTTTCATGAAAGCAAGATACTGTATAATGCACTGCATACTTTTACTTCTCCACCTTTTTAAAGCACATTTCTTATATTAAACACAATATATGTTGTCTTTCTTAGATATTTGAAGAAGAAAAAAACAAAACATCAAAAAGTTGGCGTCATCCGCTAAATAAACCCCCTGCCAGATCTCCTATGACACTGGTTAAACAGCAGGCAATAAGTGATGAAGGTGAGCATGTTTTTAAAGCATCATGTAATAATATATTTTTCAGCCAATCAATTAATATGCATACACTTTAAATGTTGCCTAGTGATAAAGATGAAAAGGTATTTGATCTCATGCCAAAAATTCAACAATTGTAGAATGAACTGCATTAAATGTTTTTGGCATGTTTCCTGAATACATGATGTCCTTTCCATCCTTCTTTTTTCTTTGTCTTCTGAATGCACTGGAAAAAAACCTTGTAAGATGCTCAGAATTGTTGCTTAAATACTGTAATTACTTCTTCCCAGAACATAACAGCTTTAGAACATCACAAAAAACATGTGTTTTAATGAAGCATTAAAAAAGATTTCAAACACCCTTTTCAGGGACAGAAATTGCCTTCACATGCAGGAGTGAACATTTGGATCTAACCCAGTTTTTGGTCAGAAAAATGTCAGATTTATTTCCCCTTTATTAAGCTCTGAACTTTGTATCCAATTTCAAGTATGAAATTAGAGGGAAAAGGTGCATCTTTTTATATTGCTATTATACACCACAACTAATTATAGTTCTACAAATTGTTCTCTTTTTAAAAAAAAATCCATATCCACTTTTCATCACTGAAGTACTGCTATTATTAAAGATTAGTGTCCTTTTTTAAAAAGAAAAATCCATTTTACTGTCTTGGAATATTTAAGCACAACAACAGTGTGTTTGTTGTTTTCTCTTAAAATTTTCTTAAAATTCATGGTCAGTTGGAGAGATTATTTCTTTTTTTCTTTATTTTTCTTGCCTACTTATCATATAGTATGCATAGCACTCCCTATTTTTTCCCACAACAATGCTATGATGTAGAGAGAGTATGATTGGCCCAAAGTCACCCAGTGAGCTTCTATGGTTGAGTATGAACTAGAAACTGGGTCTCCTTTATGCCAGTCCAACATCTTAATCACTATACTACATTAGGATTGTGTTTACTGGAGAGATTAAACATGCCGTTGTTTTAAAAATTATGTGGGGTTTTTTTTGTTGTTAATTTTTAATCTGTCAAATTAGTTAATTTCACTTAAATTAACGTGTTAAAGACAAGTCTAGTGATTTGGTTACTCCTCTATCTATTTAAATGTGATTAGAATTAGTGAGTTTATCTCCTTGTGAGTGCCCTTGACAGCTTTAAAATAGATTGGGAAACAAATAGCACTACTAACACAACAGTCATATTTAATTCTCTGTTTACATTGTCCTGTTTTTGAGGTTGAATCAAAAATAAAACATTTGTTCAAACCAGTATACAATATGTATCACAATTTTTACATTTTACCACTTCTTTTTACACATCTTGTGATTTCAAGTTTGCAGCAGTGTGTATCTTGTACACATAGCTACTGTGTGCAGGTTCCTCTACTTGAATAAGAGGCAAGGGGTGGGATGGGCAGAAAAGACTCCTGTATATTGTTTTACAGCAGCCTCTCTCAACCTTTCGACCCTGGAGGAACCCTTCAAATATTTTTCAGGCCTCGAGGAACCCCTGCGCATTTAGGCTCAATATAGGCCCAAAGTTATAAATTTATATTTGATTCATGTGTAGGCCTGTATATATGCATTAACAGTGTTCTTAAACTAAAAATTAGTTTATTATTTTACATGCTGACATTATTTTGTCACCCAAAGCATAACTTTTCTTTTGCTGTGTAATAAGTTCTGCTACTAAATAACTTGCTTCTTGGGCTTTTTTACTGACTGTCATTTTATTAACAAAAGCTTTACTCTGTTTCCAAAGCATAACTTTTCTTTTGCTGTGTAATAAGTTCTGCTACTAAATAACTTGCTTCTTGGGCTTTTTTACTGACTGTCATTTTATTAACAAAAGCTTTACTCTGTTTGCTCTGTGATTCCAATATCTGTTGAAAATAATCAGAACTTTTAATTGTCATATAGCTGTGATTTGTAGTCAAGTGCCTTTTTAATTTTGCTGGAGCCATTGCTGCATTTGTAAGTTGTTTGCCGCAGGTGAGGCACAATGGAATAGGATAACTTGAATCACCAGTGATTCATTGATAATAGCTTTCATTGTAAAGATGGACTTTTTTTTTTTTTTGAGCCTTTTGATTTACCAGTGCAGGGAAATGCCTGAGAAGATTTAAATTCTTCATTATCATTATCATCATTAAACTTATCGGTATTGTCCGTTCTAGAATCCTCCTCTCTCACACCTCCTCTTCAAAAATTGCCACACTGGACCCTCAGACATGACTGAATAAACATGTATGAAATTTATTTAAAATAATGGGATAAAATGACTACAGGAAAACTGCAGCGAAAAGATGCAGGAGGGAGAGACTGACATCACAGACTAATGGAATAGGATAACTTGAATCACCAGTGATTCATTGATAATAGCTTTCATTGTAAAGATGGACTTTTTTTTTTTTTTTGAGCCTGTTGATGTACCAGTGCAGGGAAATGCCTGAGAAGATTTAAATTCTTCATTATCATTATCATCATTAAACTTATCGGTATTGTCCGTTCTAGAATCCTCCTCTCTCACACCTCCTCTTCAAAAATTGCCACACTGGACCCTCAGACATGACTGAATAAACATGTATGAAATTTATTTAAAATAATGGGATAAAATGACTACAGGAAAACTGCAGCGAAAAGATGCAGGAGGGAGAGACTGACATCACAGACTAAGTTGGACGAGTCCATTAATTTCTTGAAAAATGCACTTCTCCTTCCCTTCCTGCAATATATTTCCTCAATACTTTTTTTTTCTTTTTCTAGTAGTCCTTGTATAGTTGTCTACTGCTTTCCTTAAATGTCCTAAAGTGCATTACCAGAGTTGTAACTAGATTTTTGTTTAGTCTCTGCTGATGCAGGAGGGAGAGACTGACATCACAGACTAAGTTGGACGAGTCCATTAATTTCTTGAAAAATGCACTTCTCCTTCCCTTCCTGCAATATATTCCTCCTTTCCTGCAATATAGTGTTTACCTGTTATCAATGGTCTCCCCTATTTCTCATCAAAAATTAAGAATGGATTCAACCAAATAAACACAGTCCTAAAGTGCATTACCAGAGTTGTAACTAGATTTTTGTTTAGTCTCTGCTCATCACAAGCGTGCGTTGCCCAAATTTGAAATAATTTTTTAAATAAATCATGATCTTCCATGGAACCCTGGTTGAGAAACCCTACTTTACAGTTTTGATGTAGGAGAATTCTGAGGACTGCTGTGTCTTCTATCTGTTTAAACAATACATTTAAGGAAAGCAGTAGACAACTATACAAGGACTACTAGAAAAAGAAAAAAAAAGTATTGAGGATGCAAATAAATTTGACTAAGTGTAGCTTGACTTTTGTCTAATTTGGTTTGCTACATGTGTAAGAGGGATAGCTGATTAGTCTAGTCTAGTCTGAGTTAATTTTGTTTAAGAGTTGGAACAACATTGAGAGAGGTAGTAATTTGAAAGAGGTAGTAATCAGGTTGTCATTTTAAAAAAATCTAATTGGACCCATAAATGGTAAACCGCTTCAGGCCAAGATGTGGTGACAATTGATATTTATCAGACAAGGAAGCTGCCAATGGCTGTTAGTCATGATGGTTACATGTAGCCTTCCAAAATCAGAATCAGCATGCCTTTAAATAACAATCTAAAAAACAACAACAGTTTTGAAGAGACTGTCAGGTACCATTATTCAGGGTTGGCTGAAAACTGCAATAACGTTGCCCAAATTACTAAGCCTATGCTAGCCTTCTGTTTTTGCTTACTTCACTATGAAGGAAATGCTGCAATTCCCCACAGTCTTTGATTAAACAAATGTGTGCCCCTAAATCGGGTATTTTTTGCTGCTTGGGGAAGTGAGGAATGCGCAATAATAAAACGGAGACATTTGTCTCCTACCTTCATATTTTACAATCATAGAATTATTCTCTTTGATATTTATAGACTAATGAATGATAGGTCACCTAGAGCACATAACTTTGTTTTTGTTCTAATCTATTTGGTGAATAATTAAATAGATCTATAGCTGAGTGTCGAAGCTGGGATGGGTAAATTGGGGTGATGTCACTAATTCACTTAATACAGTAGTTCAGTTAGCTGTTAAGCATGTCTTCAAATCACAGAAAGCTCTGAGCCATTATCTGTATCTGTGTAATATTTGCATGTCCTGAGGGGATAGGATTATGAGTGGGTTTTAGAATGTTTCAGTAATTTACACAAAAAAGGCTATATTAACATTAGAACCCATCTGGTAAAGTTATTCAATTATTTAAATACAGGAAGTTTACATGAAATTGCTGCATTTTAAATGAGGGATTAAACAGTTTTTTCATTAGAGTTGATAGTAAACCTTGGTTGAAGTTAAGTAAAATGTTTGAAAACAAGGACATTTTGAGTTATCCTTGTCAGACTTCTGACAGGTCCAAGGAACTGAAGGAGCAGAGATTTGAGAATGCATTTCCCCACGTCCTGTATCATCTTTCCTATTTAAAAAACAAACCCTACCACATACATAAAAATAGTTGGTAATGTAGCCATGTAAGTAAGTCCTCAAAAATTAGTAGTCTGCAGAACAAAGAGAAAGTGTGCTGGAACGTTTCTCTGTATCTCTTTTGCTGTTCATGGAGCAGGGGACTTTCTTTGGTTTCTAAATTAAGTGCACAGCAGGGACAAGGTTTCATCCATACTCTGCTAGTTGAGTCAAGTATGAAATTCCTGACTGGCTATTGCTACCAAGAAAGTGCTTAAATACAAGACTACATTAATATAATTAACGTGGTATGTGACAGAATGGAGAAGGTAAACACCATCTTCTATCCTGTCATGCAACCACCCAGGCATCCAACACTGTATGTTATAACCCGAGACTGGGAAAGAGCTGAGAGAAAAACAGATAAGGGTTATCATGCAGAGACTCTCATAGAAGTAAGAGAAGTTGAAATGGGCTAAGATGCTGGCAGGAAGTAGGAATTGGGTGGAAGTTGAAAGAGGAGAGAAAAGAAAGAAAATGTCTTGCAGGC